CTTCCTCTGTCTTCACGTAGTTTTCTCTCCTTATAAAGACACTAGCCACCTTTGATTAGCATCCAGTTTTGTGATATCATCTTGTTTATGTCTATCAATTTCCAAATAAGGTCACATTTACAGGTATTGGAAGTTAGAATATCAATATTTCTTTTGGGGGGATATAATTCAACCCATAACATTTTAATATTTACTCTAGATGGGGGCAAATTATACACAATTTTCATTGTCAAACACTGAATTTAATTGGCTCTGGTGCACCTAAAACATGATTTAAAATCTGAAATCAAACACTCTGTACCCATAGTCTTAGGTTTAATGAGATAGTGAAGTTTGAGTTTTGCTTTGACGATGCTGCCTGGAGCTACTTGCTCTAAAGCACAAAAGTTTGTGTTGCTTTGACCTTCACCGTCTATCCTTCCCCTTCCTTGGGTTTCTGAGCTATCTTTAAGGAATAGAAGCAAAAATAAACCTGGTCTTTGTGACTTGGTCCTGATAAGTCACATGTGCACACATAGGGCAGTTAGCAAAGGATGTTTTGTTCCTCTATGACTCACCTATTCAGGTGACTGCAGTAGATGATCAGGAACTGTCTGAGTCACCCAGTGTTCCCACAGACTTGGCTGGGAAGTAGCCAAACTCAGTGGCATGACTGAGGCGCCAAGCCAGAATTCTTCTCTGACAGGCAGTGGCAAAGATCTCCATGGCGTTCACAGCATGGACCATCTTCCCTTCTTGCCCTGAGCCCTTTCCTGAACACCCTTGACCTCATCAGGGTGGCCCATCCCTCCATTCTGACATCCTGTCTCATTGGACAACATGTCCTCAAAATAATCCTCACTGACGCATTATGACTTCCCCTGGTTCCAACTCCCCTGTTCCTTTTTTCCTCTATTTTTCCCACCCTTTATCTTTTTTTCTGGTTATGTGACTCTCATGTGCCAAACCACAGCCATCTACTGCAACTTTCCAGGCAAACTTGGCTGGCCTTGCCCATTTCTATTGGCCCTCTCTTCTCGGCCACCATTCCTAGATGGGATTTTTGAACACTAACATTCCTCACTCCATTTAGAAGCCAGATGTACGAGTTACTCATTTTGTTCCAGCTTGTTACTTTCTGGCTCCTGGCTCCCATCTGTAACACCGGGTTGAGGGCTTAATTAGTTTTTTGCCTAGTGTACTATAAAGTGAAATCTTCAAGGAATAAAAAAAAAGTAAAAAATTAATCGTCTGCTCTAAATACTGTGAGGCTAAGGATAAAAATGGCAACAACAAAAACAACTATAGCAACAGCATTTATTGTGCATTTTATGTGTGCCAGCTGTTGTGCTCAAGAATGTTCAGAAACTAGTTCACTTAAACATTATAATCTGGTGAGGACTAGGCCTAATCTGCCTTGCTTGGCTTCTCTGGCTAACCCATGAGAGGATCATGGGAGTTATCTGCTTTTCACTGACATTCTAATGAGGATCCCCACTTCTCCAGAAGGTTCTTGTGGACCCCAGAGGCTGAGCATGAACGTAGGCTTTATGAATGACTGGAAACAGGCCCAGAGGAGATCCACATGTTCAGGAGGGAGGAGTGGCCTGGAAGCCCCAGCGCTTTGAATCAGCCTGGGCCCAGCTTGGAGACTTCTGATGAGTCAGCCACTTTTAACCACTGTGTTCCACGGACCCTGCCCTTGGTGGCAGGACTTGGTTGGGGGAAGGGGGGATCATTGGAGGATCATTGGTTCTTACAATATCAACCTGGAATTCATTAAAAATAAAGGATCAAGGGAACTGCGTTAACCATGATTTCCTAAAGAATAAATCCCCAAAGCTCAGCTCTTCCTCTGGGGTCAGGGACTGCTGGTACACTGGGAGGGGCCTGCTGTTTATTATTTCACATTTGGCAAGGCTTTCTATTGTGGCTGCAAGTCAAGGACTCAGGGAAATGCTAATTTGAGAATGAATGGATGGATAAATGGATAGACTGGGAAAAGTTTTGAAAAATAACTTGAGCTGTTGAGATGGCTCAGTGGATAAAGGCACTAGCTGCCAATCCTGACAGCCTCAGTTTGAGCCCTAGAACCCAGATGGTGGAAGGAGAAAACCAACTCTTGAAAGTTGTCCTCTGACCTCCACATGTGCACTGTGTGGTCTCTCTCTCTCTCTCTCTCTCTCTCTCTCTCTCTCTCTCTCTCTCTCTCCAATAAAAAAAAAATAACTTGGCGGTGCCCACACCCCCATCTTTTCTCTCTTAACACTTTCTTCTTGGGCTTCTTCTCTCTCTAGTGAACATTCATGGCATTTATTTCCAGAATCACTCTTGGCTGCCAGTCTCCATGGAAACTGCCCAAAGAGGGATATAGCTAAAATAGTCCAGGCTAGGCTCCTCTGAGAACACTTCTGATATAGAGCTATAATGAAGAGGGGCTATGTTTATGCACCCCTGGGTAGAGAGCATCTGTGAACCAAAGAGCTGTCTAGGGTGCCTTTGAAGGAGAAACCTTGAGTGGCACTTGGTTCTGAAGGCTCCGACTTGGCATCACTGAAAGTTCGGCTACCTTTCCTCCATCAGACATTGCATTGCTGAGACCTTGATGATTAAGGCTGGTGCTATAATTGCAACCTCACAGTCTAGACACACACACACACACACACACACACACACAAGGCTGGTGCTATAATCACAACCTCACAGTCTAGACACACACACATACACACACACACACACACAAGGCTGGTGCTATAATTGCAACCTCACAGTCTAGACACACACACACACACACACACACACACAAGGCGGGTGCTATAAATGCACCCTCACAGTCTAGACACACACACACACACACACACACACACAAGGCTGGTGCTATAATTGCAACCTCACAGTCTAGACACACACACACACACACAAGGTTGGTGATATAATTGCAACCTCACAATCTACACACACACATACACAAACACACACACAAACACACAAATGATTAAGGCTGGTGCTATAATTGCAACCTCACAGTCTAGACACACACACACACACACAAGGTTGGTGCTATAATTGCAACCTCACAGTCTAGACACACACATACACACACACACACACACACACACAAGGTTGGTGCTATAATTGCAACCTCACAGTCTAGACACACACACACACACACAAACCCCTCAGAGCAACAATTGCAACCTCAAAATCTACATATACCCCTTCAGGTCTTATTCAAACTAGAGAGTAAGGCTCCTCCTCCCACCTCTTATTTTCTTTCTGTGTTGGGGATGGAAACCCCCTTTTGCATGCTAAGCTATTCCCCTAAGCCTCTTAAAATGTAATTTTCAAAAAGTTAAAAGTACGGGTTTCATACAAACAAAAAATAAACATGTATAAAAGATTTTAATCAGCTTAATGTGGGAACCAATAAGTTTGTAAAGAAATTCAAGGAAGGGAAGTTTATAGTTAGTCAAAGAATTATGGACATGAATTGGCTAATAGATTTTTAAAAATTGGCTGATATCTGCAAAACAATTCACTTTCACTTTTGGGGCCCACAGTTTCTACCAGGCAGAGATCATTGACATTTTGACTGGTCAAAAATCTTATTTATTTTTCTCATCAAATATAAATTTGTATTACCAATTTTTTTTTACAAGTTACCCTCTACTCTTACAAAGTTGTAAAAAATCTTAACAAAAGACAAAATTACAGATACTCTCTAACCATGACAGCTCATTTTCTCAGTGTATTTCTCAGATATTTGGGTCATAATAAAATAGACATTTGATAAGATGACAAGTTTGGGGCATATTGGGAAAACACCTCAATAAGTAAGATGACTTAAAATAATGGCTGTGTGCAAGGGAAGCTCTTCAGAAAGTTGGATAAGAGCACTGTCAGGGTAACTAGAGTTGCAGGGGAGGAATGGATCTTCTTTCTTTTGCCCCCTGAGGCCCTGTAGGCAGAAGAGGTTTTACTTGTCTAGGACCAGGGACGCTGGGTTGGGGAGCACGGAGGATCGAGGCGTCTATACAAGCAGTTGCCTGGTGTTTGCTTTTTGGTCCCTGTGGTCATCCATGTTCCTTACCTCAGCCTTTCCTCTGCCTTTTGTCAACATGAGGACTATTCATGTCTGAGTGGCATGTTTAAATGTACCTCTTGGCTCATTGAATTCTTGCAAAAATTTTGTGAGGTAGATCAATCAGTTCCTAGAGAGAGGCAAGTTGCTCAAGGCCACAGCATGGCTAGTAGGGAGAGCACTTAGCATTGAGACCCAGGCCTTGCTTCCAACTCTGAAATTCCATGTTTTCCATTTCCTTTCCTAATCTTTCTGTAGTTTTCTGGAGCGTTGTATGCTTGGACTCCAAGACAGATGTATTGGAAAGCTTAAGACATTTTTAGAAGACTTCTTTCTCCTGAGAGGCCAGTGGAACACTGCCATTAAAGTTACCCTGCCTTCCACAGTGTTTAGGTGTTACTGTTAGTGCACCTGGGCCTTCGAGTCTCTGTGACTGTAATTAGAATGATTGAGAAAGCATGTGGCCATTACTCTGGGCTTCAGATTTTCATTTGTACAATGTAGGTATAAAACCTAGCCTTAATTAAGCCTTTCTGTCAGTCATGATATGACACTTGGGTCTGTGGCTCAGTCCTATCAGCTACTGTCACTGTGGCTTCATCAATTGATGATGGCGATGAGTTTCTCCCCATCTTCATTTTTTAAAAAAATATTTTTATTTTATTTACTATTTTTATTTTTTGTGTGTTATGAGTGTTTTGCCTGCTTGTATGTAGGTGCACTCATGTTGTACAATGCCCACAGAAGCCAAAAGAGGGCATTGGATTCCCTGGAACTGGAGTAATGAACAGTTGTTAGCAGCCATGTGGGTGCTGGGAACAGAACCCGGGTCCTCTGCAAGAGTAGCTAGTGCTTTTATTTGGGAAAGTTGGGAGAATGGGGCAGGATGGTTACTTCCCTAAGTCAAATCGGCGTTCATGCCTTTGTCCCTCTGTTGCAGGGTCCAACATATGTACAACCCGAGGCGTGAGCTCCTGCCAGCAGTGTCTGGCTGTGAGTCCTGTGTGTGCCTGGTGCTCAGATGAGGTAAGGAGCCTATACCATATCTTTGTTGATTCAAAAACCATAGCTGTTACCTCAAAGGGACTAAGAGGTAGTTTATTCTGGAGCCAGATATGAGTGATGTTGGCTCAGGAACAGAATCAGTTTACTCCAAATACTGTGTTCCAACATGATAAACAATTTAATGAAATTTTTGTACTAACAGAACAAAGTCATAAATCGAGGTTTTTAAAAAATTTTATTTATTTTTATTTTATGTATATACGTGTATTGCCTGCATATAGATAAGTGCACCCATGTCGTGCAGTGGCTGCAGAGGTCAGAAGAGGCTGTCAGATCCCCTGGGACTGGAGTTACAGGAAGTTGTTAGCTGCCATGTGGGTGCTGGGATTTGAACCTGGGTCTTCTGCAAGAACAACCAGTGTTCTTAACCCCTGAGCCATCTCTCCAGCTCCTATAAATCGAGTTTTTTTTTTTTAATACATTGGTGGAAACCAGGTAAGGTGAGTTACAACAAGCGAGGAAGTCTCTGCTATAGACTTCAGATATCTGGTCACATTCTTTGCCTTTGGGTTGGTGGAAGCTAGGAGTCGGTTAGTACATTCTAAAAAGAATTTTACCTGATAGTCATGAGGATGTTAGGTCAAACCCAGAGGTGGGCAATAAATGGCTAGGGGGCTAATCCAGCCTGATATAATTTGGCTCCTAACCTGTAACATTCGGTCGGCCTTGTAGAGTGTTTACCACAAGCATGGCTGTTTTTCTATAAACTTCAGTTCACACTTTCTTTCCTTAGATTTAGATGTTTTTGTGTAGGAACAGGCACATGGGGTTACCACTGGATGGGTGGTACACAGCTGTCACAGGGGTGTTGCTGGTAATGATTTACACAGGTTTCCCCCTATCACCACCCACCAGTTTGATTGGGTGTCTGACCTTGCTGTGACCACTGCTGACCTCTACAGTTTGCTTTATGTTGGGCTTGAACATCCCAGGCAAGAAGGGTTTCAGGTCTCAAAATGAGAGGTGGGAGGGATGCTAGGTATGGAGAAGGTGCTGGCTTTTTCCTCAGAATTTAAAAAAAGACAGAAGGGGAAGCTTCTGCAATGCCCCCGGAGGTCAGAAGAGGCTGTCGGATCCACTGGGACTGGAGTTACAGACAGTTGTTAGCTCCCATGTGGGTGCTGTGTGTATGTGTGTGTTTAGTTAGAGATCTGTTTTCCTCCCTTCTCTCTGATGATGAGGCTTCTTTTTTTCCTTCCTTCCCTCTCTGAGGTGTCAGTGGGGGCAAAGAGTCTAGCCTATTGGTGAGGACTGGAGGGTGACCGGAAAGGGTTAGCTGTGTCTAGGCAGAGGGTTTGTTGTGTCTGGGGCCCTAGGGAATGAGTGTGTCTGAGGGAATGGCTATGTTTGTGGCTGGGCTGGGAATTTGGAGCTGGCAAGGGCTGGTGGGGGATGTAGGGGGTGAATTTGGCTGAGGACATCTCCAGTGGTTACAGTGGGAGTGTGAGTCACTAATCCTTAGCAGGTGGTTACCTGAGCTTCAGGTCTTGCTGCTCCTCAGACACCAGAGGCAGCCACTTGGCAGGGTGACACACCCCTGTTCTGTAGAGCTCCTTGACTATTCCAGCCCCTCACTCGCTCTGTCTGCTTCTCTTCCGGATATGCTGAGTTTCCTAAAAAGGCAAACTCCTGGGCAGGCTGAGGAGGATGGGAGCAGGAGGCCATGTTTATCCCCTGGAGGGGGGTTGCCAGAGCATCAGAGGCCAGCTCAACATGCAGCATTGGCCTCTGTGCTGTTCAGCAAGGGGGACTGCTTCCAGAGGCAGCTGTCCAACATCTGGGCCAGATTGACTTCTTTTAGCTCATGAAATGTTCCCTGGGGCTGGAGGAGGGTGAGCCCTTCTCCTCCACCCCCGCAGGTGCCCCTCCCCTCTGGAGGCTCAAGGGTGGTGTGGCTTCTTCTTTTCATTTGTTATATCCTCCTGCCTTTGGTCACCATCGTGGTTTTGTTAAGCTTCTTTTCTAAGGAAGTTGCAGTTTTATAATAATTATAGAAGGATGCCAAAGGTGTCTTGTTTGGACTGATGGCCTGAAGCTGGCTGGAGCAGAGGGGGAGGGAGCCCTGGATGTAAGGCTTAGTGGCACTCAAAGGAGGTTTTCGCCTCCTTCTCTCTTTTTCAACCCAAAGTCAGAATAAAGACAAGGCTGCTCTGGCCCAGATTATCTTGGGGGAAAAAGGAAACTTCCTGGAGAGTCTGTCCTGGAGGGGTGTCCAGGTCCATGCTGTCCTTCTTCCATTTTGTACCCATCTGGATCTGATAGGGACTAGCTAGAGCTCAGGTCTGACCAGCCACAGCCCTTCTTTAGCCCACGTGACCAGAATTTCATGTGACTAGATTCAAATGTGGAATATTTACGGGTCACTATGGTGAATCTGGTCCTCTGGGGCAGACTGAGAAGGCAGAGAGAGAAGTGTATACTAGGAAGGATCAAAGCTTGTGGCAGGACTAGAGATAAGATGGAGTCAGGAAATGGGTGGCAACTAGGACCAAGGGAAACTAATAAGGGGAGGTAGAAAGCCCAGGGAGATAGTCTCCAATAATATAATATAGTGAATGACCACAGTGCTCATCACTAAGCAAGAGGGAGGGCGAGAGAGAGGGGACGGAGCCAGTGTGGGGCAGAATGTGTCAACCAGGGAGAGGAATCCTGGACTGTAACTGGAACATGGCTGTTAACCTTTTAACGGAAGGAGCAGGGCTTCCCTTGCTCAGGCCGAGTTTAACTTTTGGAATTACCTTGGTCTTTGGCTTAAAACAACCAAAGGTGAGGCTGGGTTTGCTGCTCAGCTCTCTGTCTCCTTTGTCTTGACTGTTTCTGGCAACACTGGCAGTGCCTCTGAAAACAACTGGTTGGGCTCAGCTTGTGGTCCTTAGAGGACAGCAGCTCTTGGGTGTGTACAGCGAGCACTTGGGTGGGTAATAGGAAAACATAGCCAATGTGCATGAGTTGGGTGTTTTGGGCCCATCTGCATGGGGCGTGTTCTTGGAGAGTTAGATGCATAGTTAGATAACGTGGGTTGAGGTAATGTGGTATCTCTGATCTGTACACCTAGCAAAGATGTCAGCTTTCACACAGAGATTGAACCTGTACTGTAGTCTGGACCTAAGTGGTGCCAAGCTGGAGCCTAGAACTTTCTAAAATCACGTGGTGGTGAGAATTGCCTGAAATGCTTGTTAAAAATAAAGGCTTGCTTGGGGTTAGAGAGATGGCTCAGCAGACAAGAGTACTTGCGCTCTTCCAGAGGACCTAGGTTTGGTTCCCAGCATCTACACTGGGGGGGTTCACAACTACCTATAACTCTAGTTCCAGGAATTTGACACCCTTTTCTGGAGTCTACAGATACCTGTACACACATGGTGTACATACAGACAAGTGAGCACACACATATACACATACACATAAAATAAATCATAAATATAAAGGCTCTGAGGGTAGATCCTGGACCTATTGCATCAGAGCAGGTTGTTATGATAGTAAGTTGGATAAACATTGCTACATTGCTACTGGCAGAGGCTGGTATTGGTCAAGGTACGTGGAAGTAGAATTAAAGTTGCCAGATAAATTCAAAATATTGAATTAAAGTTGGATTAAATGGCAAATAATTTCTTGTCTTGGTATGCCCAGAATATTTTCTAAATTTGGCAACTCTATGGTGGGAAGAAATGCTTGGAATTGGTATACAAGCCTGAGCACACATTGGAAGGTAGACCCGTCCACAGTCTGACATCAGAATAAAAGGGGGAAGAATGGGATTTGGGTCCAGCAAGTAGAGGAAGATTCTAATGGGACTTCTTTCTCATTTTCTCTGTGTCTGCAGGGGAAAGTCAGGCTGCTCTTTACAGGTCCTCTTGTGATTATTGGAACTTTGTTATCACGTTTCTGCTACAATTTCTTTCTACTTTTATTCTGGAACATAGATGTCCCTTTTGAGGGTTTTATCCCAACTGTTATTGTAAAAAAAAAAAAAAGTCAACAAAAATGTATAATAGTGACTTGGGATGTAGCTCAGTTGATAGAGTGCTTGCTTAGCATGCATGAAGCTGTGGGTTCAATCTCCAGTGCTGCATAAACTGGGCATGGTGGGGGTACACCTTTAACCCTAACCCTCAGGAGTTAGAGGAAGGAGGATCTGAAGTTCAAGGTTGGGCTGAGGAGATGGCTCAGTAGATAGGAGCATCTTCTATGAAAGCAAGGAATCAGAGTTCAAATCCCCAGCACTTAAAAGCTGGACATGGCTACATGTAACTTTAATCCTAGTGTTGGAGAGTAGAGACAGGTGAATCCTAAAGGCTTGCTGGCTGAAATGGTAAGCTTGAGGTTCGTTGAGAGACCCCGTCTTAAAAAATAATGTAGAGGCCAGGCGTGATGGCGCACGCCTGTAGTCCCAGCACTCAGGAGGCAGAGGCAGGTGGATCTCTGTGAGTTCAAGGCCAGCTTGGTCTACATAGTGAGTTCCAGGACAGCTCAGGTTATAGAGAGACCCTGTCTCAAAAAGACCCCCCCAAAAATAATGTAGAGAGTGATAGAGGAAGACACCTGCATGGGCGCTTCTGTGCACACACATACACACACAAATGCACAGACGCACACACATGCAGAAATTCAAGATCATCCGTCACCACACAGCAGTTTAAGGCCAGTCTGGGCTAAATGACATCCCTATCTCAAAAAAAGTGTACTTGAGTAGAGTGAATACAAACAGCTATAAACTAAAATGCCTCTTTCCCCTTCTTTCTTTTCTTCACCCCTTCATACCTCTGTGTACAAGTCATTTCTTAGCTTTACTAAATGAGCCAGTTAAACAACAGTGTTAATTTATTTGGGACTGGGGAGATAGCTCTGTGGTAGTGCACTTGCCTCACATGTGCAAGTCCATCTCCAGTGCTGAAAAAAGAAAAGTTCAAAGGCATGCTTCCTTCCCCTAGCCTTCCTCCAAGGAAAGGTATGTAGTAACCACAGTCTTTGGAATGGTAATTGTAGAAAGGACTCTTTGATTTACTTTTTACTTGCTTAGACCATACCCAGAAGTATTTGAGTCTATTTGACTCATATTGAGACTTTGTATTTTGAAATCATTTCAGTCTTATTTTAGGTCCTGCCCAACCCTGTGAGATATGTAGCTCAGTAACAATTGTTCGTGCTGTACTTTACCCAGTTTCCAAAACAGGAATAATGGGCTGAGACTAACAGCCTGTGTCACTCTCCTGATATGGGGGAAGATGATCTACCAGCTCATACAACTCACAGCCCGGAGCCTCCCATCTCTGTGGGGGATCTTCCCCTGGGGTTTGGTTATTTGTGCCCTTGTGTGTGTGTGTGTGTGTGTGTGTGTGTAACATCCGGTTTTGCTGGGAACTAGAACTTTAATATCTACCCCCTTTCTAGTTTTCTCTCTGAGTAACCTGGAAACATTCCTTCTGCTATCTTGGCCAGAGTTATACAGAAGGGGAATGTGGCCCAGGGTGTTGAGAACATTGCTTTGGTATCTTGGTATCTTCCCAGGACAGGAGGCTCTCAGGCAGAGCTGGGCTGATGAGCAAGCCTGTTAACTGTTTGACCTCTGATGTCAGCGACCACGAAAGGAGGGACGGAGCCCTCCTTTTTTCCCCAGTATTTATTTTTCTAATCAAGGCTATAAATTTAGAAAGTGGGAGTGAGGAAACCCCCACAGAAGCATCCTCTCCCTTCTCTGAGCCTGAAGATACTTGGTGGCTTGTTCTTCTCCTGCAGCTCCCTGGTTTCCCTCTTCCAGTCCCTTCCATCATCCTCTGTCTTGTTCGGGAAAGGCTCAGTTCTCCTGGCATCTTGGTGATCCAGTAATTGCCTTTTGGGGAAGGTTTTCTCCAGGCTAGGTGGGCAGCTGGAATCAGAGATAAGGTTCTTAAATTTTTTTTTTTGAGACAGGAAGGGAATGCTTTCTGGGAGAGATGGCCACAAAGAGACCAGGGATGGCTGGGCACAAAACTTGTCCTGCCCAGAAGTTAAGTTCTCCCCATGGCTATTCTGTCCCACTGCAGTCAGGTGTCAGCATGGAGATTTAATTCTTTTAGAGTCCTGTAGGGTTTGTGTTGAGACATTTGTAGCCAAAAAGGTTAAGTGTTCTGCACTGGTTTTACACTGGAGGCCATTTCTCCGTCTCATATAGGAGAAGCTGAGAGAGAAGGAAGGAAACCACTGGCTTCTGGAATCCCCTTTCCCTTTTTGCTTGAGCCAGATGTGGGGATGATTGTGTAATAGGTGTGTGTGGGGGAATGGGTGTGTGTGTGGGGATAGGTGCGTGTATGTCCTTGTGCTGCTGTTCATGTCTCCATCCACACTGGGCCAGGCCTTCACCTCATCAGAGCTTTAGAGGATGAGCAGCTCCCCGTGGAACAGTCTCTCTATAGACATTATGGGGACCAAGATATGTACAGCTGAAGAGGAAGGACCCGTCTTTTCCCACACTTCTCACATCCCCATTTTTCATTTCATGTTCTCTACCTGGGGCATTCTCTGTTCTGTTTTTTTTTCCTAGGACCATCCCTCCCAACCAACTTTGCTGCCTTTTATTGCATTCTCTACAGAATGTAGTAAAACCTTGTAAGGATACTTCTGAGAGAATTTAGTTGGCATCTTTGTTGTGTCACGTCTGAGTTCTGCAACTTTGGACAGGTTACTTAACTTCTCTAAGCCTCAGATTTCTTACCTAGAAGATTGATTGCTCATTTGTGAAACCTCCTTAGGTTTCTCACTTGTCAGGAGCATTGCAAAAACTCTCGTAAAGTGCCCATAACTGTGCCTACATACAGTAAATGCTCGTGTTCAGTAAATGTTAATGGCAGTTGTTCCGGGAGATTGATATATTTTTAAAAAGATATTTTATTTTTTTAATTTTATGTGTCTGAGTGTATTGCCTGCATGTTTTGAGTGCACCCACGTCCTGCAGTGCCTGAGGACATCAGAAGAGGATGTCGGATTCCCCTGGAACTACAGTCAAGGATGACTGTTAGCCCCGATGTAGATGCTGGGAACTAAACCTGGGTCCTCTGCAAGAGCAGTCAATGCTCTTAACTGCTGAGCCCTCTCTCCAGTCTCTAGGGTTTTTTTTTCAAGGTGATTTTTGGAAGAGGATGGATAGGAGAATCTGAAGAACTATACACTGGGAAATAGGTCCAGGTAGGCGTGTTCTAGCTTTCCCATCAGTTGCCTCAACCTGGCAGGTGCCAGGTGGACATGTGCCCATGCAATGCTGGTTAAATTTGCTGAGTGTCAATAAGACAGGACTGAAAACATTATGTTCTTTAGCATTGCCTACCCCCTTCAAAAAAGTCTGGAAACTAAGGCTCAGAGTGACTTTTATGAAGTCACATGGCTAGCTAGTGCCCACCATGCTTTAAGGCCTATTTCTTGATTTTGGTATTCTTCCTAGGACAGTGCGTCCCCACTTAATTCTTGCATAGAGAGTCCCAGAGGGTGAGGGAATGCATGTTGGCGTGTTTTTTGTCCGGAGTGAAGGTAGAAGGTGGTAGGGTAGGCTCCAGTCAGTAGCCTGTCCTCATGCTGTCTCCTCAAGCTTGTGGAGTTTATTCATAATTTATTCAGGAACTACCTATCAACACCTCATAATTATAGCTAAGTTTTAGTGAGCACTTACTGCATGCATCATCTTATTTAGCCCCACATGACATCTATACAAGGGAGGGGTTTTATTATTATTATTATTCATTTCTTTAAAGTAATTTTTTGTTGTGATAGAACACATATAACAGAATTTTCCATCTTCATTTTGTGTGTGTGTGTGTGTGTGTGTGTGTGTGTGTTCATGTTTGTGTATGCGTGTTTGGAAGCTAGAGATTCTGTGTCTTCCTCGATATCCCTCTGCTTTATTTTATTTTATTTTATTTTATTTTATTTTATTTTTTGACAGGGTCTCCCTTGCCCCAGCCTGCCTGAAACTCACTATGTAGACCAGGCTGGCCTCAATCTCATAGAGATCCACCTGCCTCTGCCTCCTGAGTGCTGGGATTAAAGGCATGAGCCACCATATAGTGTACTGCTTTATTTTTTTGAGACAGGATCTTACACTGAACCTGGAGCTTACCGATTTGGCTAAACTGGCTGGCTAGCAAGTCCTAGGGATTCTCTTGTCTCTGCCTCCCAAACTCTGAGATTATAGGCATGTGCTACCACACCCCATTTTTCTATGTGGGTGCTCAAATTTGAACTAAGGTTCTCAAGTTTGTGGAGGCAACACTTTACCAATTGAGCCATATCTAGTCCTGTCTTTACCTTTTAAAAATTTTGTCTTTTTGAGACTGGTTCTCCCTGTAACCCCAGCTGGCCTAGAACTTGCTATGTAGATCAGACTGGCCTCTATTTTACACACAGAGATCTGCCTGCCTCTGCCTCCCAAGTGCTGGGATTAAAGGGGTGTGCCACCTCACCTGGTCATCTTGACCATTTTTAAGTGTACAGTTGTATTATATTAAATCTATTGATGATGTAAACCACCCCTATTACCCATCTCCATAATACTTTTCAATATGCAAAACTAAAACTCTGTACCCATTACACAGCTCTTCCTTCCTCCTTCTCCCCAACCCCTGGTAACCATCATTCTCCCTTCTGCCTCTGATTTTGATTGCTGTTCATATTAAAGGAGGGCTTTTAATCCTCATGTTACATGAAAGAACTGGGCTTGGAGAGTTGACTGACACTGGTACTGAGGTAGTCAGTAGTTGAGATTTAGTCTCCACAAGCTCATTCATTTGCTCTTACCCTTTATCCTACATTGTCTCCTCATGCTGTCTTTCCCCTGTCACCTTTGTCTAAAACCCTGGGTTAAGTCCTAGGAACAGAGAGCAAACAGGAAACACACAGTCATGGACCTTATAACGTAGCCAGTATCTGGGACAGCAGCTCTAACCTGTTTTAATCTACAGAAATACTTTGTGTAGTCGGGTGTGGTGGCACATGTCTTTAATCCCAGCACTTGGGAGGCAGAGGCAGGCAGATCTCTGTGAGTTTGAGGCTAGCCTGCTCTATATAGCGAGTTCCAGGCCAGCTGGAGCTACAGGGAGACCCTGTCTCAAAAAGATCCCCCAAAAACAAAAACAAAAACCCAAAACAAAAAACAAAAAACAAGCCCCAGAAATACTTTGTATATCATTACTCATTATTCATTATGTGTGTTATACCCCCTCCCCCATCTTCAAATAAAAGTTTCTCAAAATAACATTTCACTTTCATTGTTTAAACTTTTTTTTATTATTATTATTAATGTGTATGAGTGTATTGCCTGCATGTGTGTAAGTGCACCCATGTCATGCAATGCCCGAGGAGGTCAGAAGAGGGCATTGATTCTCCTGGAACTGGAGTTACAGACAGTTTTTAGTTGCTATGTGGGTGCTGGGAATCAAACCCTGGTCCACTGTAAGAGCAATCAGTGCTCTTAACTGCTGAGCCATCTCTCTAGCCCACTTTTATTGTTTATATGTGTATTTTCTATTCTATTCAATTGTGAGTAAACTTGATTTTGAAAGCCACAGATGAATTATACTTCACAGTTTGTAAATCATTGGGCCAGTAGGTATCTTACTGCACATGCCCTCTTTCTGGCTGCCAATCCATAAACAGGCACTTAGTCTATCTGATACTTGTTTGCCCTTCCTGAACATGTTCCTAGGGATTAGCCTAGGAAGGACCACACCTGTTCTGAACTTGCTGGTCCTGCAGGAGACATAGCCATCCTAGCTTTGATTACAGGCCTACCCCTTGGGTTCCTGTCTTATAGGCCCTGCCCCTGGGCTCAGCCCGCTGTAACCTGAAGGAGAATCTGCTGAAGGATAACTGTGCCCCAGAGTCCATCGAGTTCCCAGTCAGTGAGGCCCAGGTCCTGGAGGCCAGACCACTCAGCAATAAGGGCTCCGGAGACAGTTCCCAGGTTACTCAAGTCAGTCCCCAGAGGATTGCCCTTCGACTACGGCCAGGTAGGCACTGGGATTATCTTTGGGAGACACTTGGGACAAGTGGGTGTGGGACATAAAGTGAGGGTATGAGCAGGAAATCTTAGAGGAGGGTCGGCACAGAATATGAATTGGTGGGAAGAGAAGAATGTGTGTGGGGTGTGTGTGTGTGTGTGTGTGTGTGTGTGTGTGTGTGTGTATGTGTGACTTATAGGCAGGAGAATAGAAGAAAATAAGAGGTGTTAGAATTTGAGTCAGAAGATCTGAGTTTGAATCTTGATTCTACCGTGTCCTAACTACTTGGCAATGTACCAGCTACTTAGCTCTTTTGAAAATGCTTGCTGCTGCCTTCTTTCTTTTGGCCTGTTCTAACTAGTTCATAGCTTCATGTTAAGATGCAAGTGAGATAAAGGATGAGGAAGCAGTTTTTAAGCCCATTTTCCAAAGGGGATGGTGCAGTTCAGAAGCAGAGAAAGGAGGGACAAAGACCTAGGAGGGAAGAAGATTAGACTAAACTTTTTGAAGCATTGCCTTTTGACTTTCTGGCAATTGAATCAATAAAGAATTAGGAAAGACCTACCATACACAAGGCATCTATGGGATTCAGGGACGAATAGGACACAATACCTGTCTTTTACCTTTATTATTATGTTTTATTATTTTTAAAAGAAATATTTTTATTTTATATGTATGAGTGTATTGTCTGCATGTGTGTAAGTGCACTTGTATTGTGCAGTGCCCATGGAGGTCAGAAGAAGGCATCAGATCCCCTGGAACTGGAGTTATGGGTGCTTGTTAGCTACATGGTGGTGCTGGGAACTGAACCCGAGTCCTTTGTAAGAGCAGTCAGTGCTCTTAACCACTGAGTCATCTCTTCAGCCCCTCTGGCCTCTATTATTATCATTTTTGGAGAAAGCTCTGGCCAGCCTGGAACTTACATAGCCCAGGCTGACCTCAAACTTGCAGTGCTGTTCTTTCCCCCACCTTGTGAGTGCTGGGATTACAGGCCTGTATCACCACACCTAGCAGTTCCTATCTTTTACAATCTGAAGTTTAGTAGTTGACAAAACTTCTGTGACTTGGGATGGTAGGCCTTGGGGACCCAGAAGGTCACATGGATAGAGATTTAGAGAGGGTGGAAAATGTTAGAATGAAAGAGAGGTTCAAGAGACTGCAAGAGGAATAGAGTTGTAAGAGAGGAGAAAGGCTTTCAAGCTTGATTTGATCAAGTAGTTATTAATTCCCTACTGTTGTCCACTCATTTATTCAGTTGTAGGAGAAGAAGGGGAGAAAAAAACTAACATCTTTCTGCCTTCCAGATGATTCAAAGATTTTCTCAGTACAAGTGCGGCAGGTGGAGGATTACCCTGTGGACATCTATTACTTGATGGATCTGTCTTACTCCATGAAGGATGATCTGTCAAGCATCCAGAACCTGGGTACCAAATTGGCCTCCCAGATGTGTAAGCTTACCAGTAACCTGCGGATTGGCTTTGGGGCCTTTGTGGACAAACCTGTATCACCATATATGTACATCTCCCCACCAGAGGCCCTTGAAAACCCCTGTTATAAGTAAGTCCTTTCTCCAGAAGCCAGTATGCCCCTTCCCTTTGTCCCAGGCAGGTCCAAGTCCTGTTCCCATTTCTAGCCCTAGGGTTTTTGTTTTTTAAGATTTAAAAAAATTTAAAATTTATGTATGTATATGCACATATTTATGTGGTGTCCATGGAGACTAGAAGAGGGTGTTGAATCCCCTGGAACTGGAGTTACAGGCAGTTGTGAGCCACCTGACATGGGTGTTGGGAACCCAGTAAAGGTCCAGTGAAATTGCAGGAAGTGCCCTTAACTGATGAGTTACCTCTCCAGCCCCTCTGGTGTTGTTTTGTAGACTGCTTTCTAGCCAGATAGTAGCTGTTTTCCAACCTGGTCTCCCTGACTACTGATCTGGAGAATTGTGCAATAGTGTTGAAGTGTACTTGAGGTCCTAGACAGAAAATGCATCAGCTTCGTGGCTTCATCGCAAATGAATAGGAGGAAAGAGGAAGGGGTGGGGAGGTGGGATCAAAAGTAGAGAGACAACTAGAAAAGTAAACCAAGGAGTTATGATTTCAGAAGAACCCATTCTGTTGTCATTATTCTAGTCATCAAGAGCACACATTTTGCAGTTAAAATGCAGGAAATCAAGTCATTTTATTGAACACTTTAATAGTGTATAAATTGGTAAGTTCTCTCTTCCTCTCCCCCCTCCTTCTCCCTGTCTTTACCCTCTTTCTTTTTGAGATAAGGATTTGTTATGTAGACTAGGCTAGCCTCAAACTCTCAATCCCTCAGCCTCCGGAGTGCTAAGATTAGAGTCATGAGTCATTCAGCTTAGCTTTGGGGTGGAGGTAGGGGATACTGGGGATAGAACTTAGGGTCTTATGCTTGTTAGGAAAATGTGCTACCACTGAGCTACATTTCCAGCCCTGTGCCTCTGTTTAATTTATGTATTAGTTAAGTTTCTTCTGTAACCAAATACTTGGTAGAAGCAACTTAAAGGAAAAGATGTTTATTTTGGCTCATGGCCTAGGGCATATAGTCCTTCATGGCAGGGAAGACATGGAGTCTGAAGCAGCTTGGTCCATGGTGGCAGGAGCATTGGCAACTCTTTGTTATATGTCACTATGGCTGGAATCAGAACTAGGCTAGAACCATCAAGCCCACCCCTATGGCCCTGTTTCTGCCAGCTAGGTCCTATGTCCAAAAGGGCTAAATGTTCAAACACATGAGCCCATGGAGGCGCATCTCCACACCTTACATCCAAACCATAGTAGTCTGCTACTGCATAGCCTACTTAATTGGTGGACTATAAATCCATATATGATAGCAATTTAAAATAATGGTTGCTGGGGCTCGAGAGATACCCTAGTGGTTGAGAGCTTTCTGCTGTTCCAGAGGACCTGAGGTCAGTTCCCAGCACCCACTTCATTTGACTCACAACCAGCTGCTTTTAACTGCAGCTCCAGGGGATCTAAACACCCTCTTCTGGCTTCTGCAAGCATCTGTAATCAAACACACACACACACACACACACACACACACACACACACAACACATACACACGGACACACAATTTTAAAAAAGTAAATTAAAAGGATGATTACTTAGCTTGACAAGACTTTGAAGTTCTATGGTACAGTTTTTGAGCTTGTGTCTGCACTTTGTGCTTCTCTAGAAAAGGCATCAGTTATTAATTGAACTGTTAGTCTGGGGACAGCAATGGTCCTGTCTGGCATGGTCTGTAAAATGATGAACTCCTGTTTTATTGTTGCTGTCGTCTTATCATTAAGACGACAGCAACAGCAGCTGAAAATTCATTCTGGTATAAGTGCTTTATGAAGGCTCATGATGACTCTCATGAGATGTGCATGATCATGTCCCCATGCTCATTGGTTTAGAAAGCCTGTCAGGTCCCATGCTTGGTAAACGAGGAGTTAGGGTTTCATCAATCCAGTTTGGTTTCATTGCCATCTTTCTTATCCTTCAGGATGGCTGGAGGTATAGTCATTATGCCTCAGATAATTTGAAGGGCTTGGGTCAGAACTGTCTCAGTAATTGTGATTCTGTGGGACTGCAGGTTTAGCTATATGGTAGAACATCGTCTAGCATGTGCAAAGCCTTGGATTCAATCCCCAGCACTGCAAGAAAGTAAAAGGAAAAAAAGACCTGACCTGAGCATGCCGGGGCCTATGTTTGCCCCTCTCTCTTTACCTCCTAACCATATACTACCTTTTCTACCTGAGCATCTGCTTAATTAATCTCTCATTCCTCCCCAGTATGAAGAATGCCTGTTTGCCCATGTTTGGCTACAAACATGTGCTGACGCTGACTGACCAGGTGACCCGTTTCAATGAGGAAGTAAAGAAGCAGAGTGTGTCACGGAACCGAGATGCCCCAGAGGGCGGCTTTGATGCCATCATGCAGGCTACAGTCTGTGATGTGAGTCTGGAGGGCAAGGGGTGCCATGTGTGGTTGGCACAGATTAAAATGGGGAAGGAAGCAGTTCACTGGGGATTTCTGGTATGATAAGGGATAAGGAACCAAGCAGGACTTTGTACAGTATGCATGATAAGTTGCTTTTGCTCAGCAGCCTCTGTTTATATCTGAGGTCAGAGCTGACATGTGTTTGCACCACAGTAGTCCCAGATCTTTCCTGGGGAGAGCATCTCCCCACATTGTCTGGACTTATTTCAGAGTTGAGCCTGGGTTAACTTGACCTCAGCAAAGTGTTCAGATGTTAAGCTGGACTTTCTTCTAAGCCCAGACCAGCTCTGTGGATATATGTGGGCTTCTGGATGGGCAGCATGACTGTCACTGGAGGAATTATGTTTGGAGTTGAAGAATGTGTGATTCAGTCTCATGAACTAATCAGTGGGGCAGTTTTCCTAAGTGAAAACTCTGAATTAGAAAGCTCTAGCTTATGTTCCAAGGCTTGAGACGGAGGTCCCTTGCTAAGACGGCTTGTCTAGATCTTAAGTCAGGGAAGTTCTGGTGTCTTTGTTCCCTACCAATGACATAGCTGAAGTTATTTTGTCTTTTTTTTAAAACAGGAAAAAATTGGCTGGAGGAATGACGCCTCCCATTTGTTAGTGTTTACCACTGATGCCAAGACCCATATAGCGCTGGATGGAAGGCTGGCAGGCATTGTCCAGCCAAATGATGGACAGTGTCATGTTGGTAGTGACAACCATTATGCTGCCTCCACTACGATGGTGAGATGTCTAGGACCACTGTGGTCCCTGTTCACTATGATGGGAATTTGGGTAGTATACAGGGCTCAGTTACAGCCTACTCCTGCCTGACTCCCAGAAGGACACCCTTATCCATGGTACAAGCTGCATGACTAGGAGAGATGGCCCTGACTGTGGTCAGTGTTACTTCTGGCTCCACTGTCATCAGTACCAGCAGCAGCATCATGGCGTCTAAAGTGGACCCAAACAATATGGCCAGGCTCAGCTGGAAAGCTAGCCTTCCTCCCTGCTCTGTGGATGGGCTCCTTTTTAGAATCATGCTCACATGTAGTTACTGGGCAAAAATTGGGGAGCAGGGAGACAAAGATAATGAAAAACCCAGAGAGCAGGGTCTGTGAGGAAAGGTTAAAGAGTACAGAGTCATTTGACTTGAAGGAAAGAAGACTCGTGGATGGTTTAGGATGGTACGTAAGAAGACTCTTTAAAGTTATTTTATGTGTTTTAATTAACCATAGACAGTTAAACAAGAGGGAAGGAGTTTAAATTGAAATAGGAGAAATTGCTGTAAGCCATAAGGCAAATGTACCAATATTTAGAATAATAGCATTTTGGTCATATGGGGAGAAGTCCTGTGTTTTTCTTCCTACCTTGTCTTCCTCCCTCCTCCCTCCCCTCCCCTTCTCTCCCCTCTCCTCCCCTCCCTCCCCCCTCCCTCCCTCCCTCTCTTTTTTATTTTATTTTTCAAGATAGGGTCTTGCTATGCAGCCCAAACTGGCTTGTAATTCTTAGTCCTCTCGCCATAGCCTAGTAGGTGTTGGGGTTACAGTAATGTGCCACTATGCCTGTTTTGTCTTTTTGAGAAAGGGCTTTATTATGTATGTAGCCAAGTCTGGCTTTTAACTTGCAATCCTCTTGCCTTAGCCTTCTGAATGCTGAGATAGTAGGGGTGTACCACCATGCCTGTTATGTTTTTCAGTGCTGGAGACTGAACCCAGGGTCTCACAGTATGCTAGGCAAATGTACTGCCTATACCCCAACCCACTCTTCATTTTTTTTAAAAAAATATTTTATTTATGCTTTTTTTTATTATTTTATGTATATGAGTGTATTGCCTGCATGTATGTAAGTGCATCTGTGTCATAAAATGCCCATGGAGGTCAGAAAAGGGCATTGAATCCCCTGGTACTGGAGTTACAGATGGTTGTTAGCTGCCATGTGGGTGTTAGGAGCTGAGCCCGGGTCCTCTACAAGAGCAGCCAGGGCTCTTAACCACCGAGCCATCTCACCAGCCCTGCACTCTTTATTTTTTAGCCATGGAGGAGCCATATTGTTGCTTAAAGGTGATTAGAGTCAGGAAACTGAGCTGGAGACCTCATGAACTCCCTGTAAGGTTTAGGATACCATGTTCATATTAACAATTCACCTGCTGCCCCCTAGTCACTCTAGTTCCTTGGTGTCAACTATATTCAAGTTGAGCATTGCCAGGCAAAGGATGAGTCTGAGACCTCTAACAGTAGTCTATACAAGGCACGGAGGGAGATGAAAAGCCTATTGGGTTCTGCTCTTAGAGGGTTTTGGTTTTGTTGAGGAGACAGGATGTATTTACATTTTATTTCTTTTATGTGTATGAGTATATTGCCTGCATGTGTGTAAGTACACCCATGTCATGCAGTGTTCATGGAGGTCAGAAGAGGGTGCTGGATCCCCTAGAACTGGAGTTATGGACAATTGTTAGCACCACGTGGGGGGTAAGAATCGAACCCAGGTCCTCTGCAAGAGCAGCCAATACTCAACCACTGAGCCATCTCTCCAGTTTCCCTATATTTTTATTAATAGCACTTACTGCATGAACGCTAGATAGGTGATACAGTGAAAGGCTATAGGCAGCCAGAGGAGGAAAACTCATTTGGAGCTGGGTTGGTCAAGAAGGCCTTCTGGAGGAGGTGAGCTTGGGCTGGGTCCTAAGGAAGGAGGAAGGTTACCAAGACAAAGGTCATTCCAGGTTGCAGGAGATATGCACTAGATCAGTGCTGAGTAGAAGAGGGAGCGAGGGAAGTGGTGGTTAGAAAGAAAGGCTGAGGCCATGTGATAGAGGATCAGTAGATCAATACTAAGACATTTGTTAGTAACTCCAAAGTAGTGAGGCCTGACCTAGTGCTGGACCCACGGAGCTGTGTTGAGTCTGAGTGGGAAGACAGGTGCTTGGTTTTGACATACCACCAGCCCAGGATTCAGAGCTAGGCTTGTGCTGTTACTTTGTCCTTCTTGTTCATTAATTGTTCCATTTTGTGTTGCTAATAATACAATACCACAGACTAGGTAAGTTATAAAGAAAAGGACTTTAGTTTGGCTCTTGGTCTTGGAGGTGCAAGATTGAGGGACCACAGCTAGTAATAATTTTATGCTGGCTGAGTCCCAAAACTCAGCATCATGTGGCAGAAGTCAGGGACATGCATGTATGAGCTTCTGTTCTTCTCTTCCCTTTCTTGTAGAGCTACCAGGATTCAATCATGGGGCTTCACTGTAATGACCTCTAATCCTATTCTCTTCCCAAGGCATCTATCTCTAAATACCATAGAGTGAGGTTGTTTCTACCCTCTTTTAAAAATTTTTTATTTTATTTTGTTTTATGTGTTTGAGTGATTTACCTGTATGTTTGTAAGTGTACCCACGTTGTTCAATGCCCATTGAGATCAGAGAGGGCATCAAATCCCCTGGAACTGGAGTTACAGACAGTTGTTAGTCGCTATGTGGGTACTGGGAACTGAACCTGGGTCCTCTCCAAGAGTATTCAGTGCTCTTAACTACTGAGTCATCTCTCCAGCCTGATTCCACCTTCTTAACATCTCACAGTGGTGATTCAATTTCAACCAGACACACTTAAACCATATCCAAACCACAACACCATTGTGATCATTGGGTGAAAAACTTTAAGCCCCACACTGTCTTGGTCATATCACAAATGAGACAAGTTCAAAGCCTTAGAATTCTGCAATTCATCTGAGACTTCTCAAGTAACCTTCTCTTCCTCCTTTTTTCCAGGATTATCCCTCTCTAGGACTGATGACAGAGAAACTATCTCAGAAAAACATCAATTTGATCTTTGCAGTGACTGAGAATGTAGTCAATCTCTACCAGGTAATTATGCCTCTGGGACTTCCTGGAGTAGGCCTTGTGGTAGGTGGACCTGTCCCAGGCAGCCAGGCCATGGAGCCTTTGGCCAGGGATCTGGCCAGGAAATAACCATGGTTCCTCTTATTCTCCAGGTACTTAACAATCCTCCCTCTAGACTTTTCCTCCAACCTCTAACCTACTAGGAAGAGTGTGTTGTTTGTGGTGGTGGGTAAGAGGTAATTCAATGGGGGTAAAAGGCATCACTTATCTGTGATGTGGACATCTTTGTCTTCCTTTCTAGAATTATAGTGAACTCATCCCAGGGACCACAGTGGGAGTCCTGTCTGCTGATTCCAGTAATGTTCTCCAGCTCATTGTTGATGCTTATGGGGTAAGAGTCTCGCATCTGGAATGGGCTTGCTGAGTCTGCTGGATGTGCCTTACTCAGCAGAGTTCAGATTTGGGAGTCCTGGCTGCCCCTCCGCCATGTGGCCTTTCTCCCTTCCCCTTGTGCTCCCAGAGGCAGGTGATGGCCAACTCTGGGAAAAATGCCACCTTCAGAAAAGGAAATGGCCCCATAGGGAAAGGCCAGGGGACAGCAGGGACAATGAGTAGGGAGCTTAGAGGGAGATGGAAGGGGACGCAGATGGGGATTAAATGGACAAGAGGCAGTTGTAGGAGCAGAGTGAGGGAAAGCTACCCAGCTGCAAAACATGAAAGAGGCAACTGAGCCACAGAGATGGTGAGATTAAAAGTTAGCTAGAGTGAGTGTGGTGGCGCACACCTTTAATTCTAACACTTGGGAGGCAAAGGGAGGCAGATCTCTGTGAGATCAAGGCCAGCCTGGTCTACATAGCAAGTTGCAGGCCAGCTGGGGCTAAAGGAGGACCCCATTTCAAACAAACAAACAAACAAATAAACTAACAAACAAGCAAAAAGCTAAAGAGTACTAGTATCCAAGGTTACCCATATCAACATTCCTTTTTTTTCTTTTCTTTTAAATTTTATTTTATGTGCATGAGTATATTGCCTACATGTATGTAAGTGCACCCATGTTGTGCAATGCCTGCAGAGCTCAGAAGAGGGTGTTATATCCCCTGGAACTGGAGTTAAGGATGGTTGTTAGCCACCATGTTCTGGGAATTGAACCCGGGTCCTCTGTAAGAGCAGCCAGTGCTCTTGACCACTGAACCATCTCTCCAGTTCCCCAACATTCTTTTATTGAACCTCCTTGTAGCCTGCAGGAGGGTGTAACTGGTTTGGATTCTACCCAAGCTCCTCTGGACACAAGTGGGCACAGAAATCAGAAGCAGTTTCCTGGCCAGGAAATAGAGCAGGAAACAGACTCCTAGGGTGTCACAGCAACAGATGTGGAAACCTCAGCATCTGGCACTGCCAGGGCAAGTCCAAGGCCACCTTGTTGACTTCGCTTGGGATGGAATTGACTTTTGTCCATTTCCTTACCTCTTTCTTTTGCCCTTCTCTGCTCAGAAAATCCGCTCTAAAGTGGAACTGGAAGTCCGTGACCTCCCGGAGGAGTTGTCCTTATCCTTCAATGCCACCTGCCTCAACAATGAGGTCATTCCAGGCCTCAAGTCTTGTGTGGGATTGAAGATTGGAGATACGGTGAGGTGGACGGGGCAGGGACTGAAGCTACAGTTCTGACTCTGGGCCCTGTCTGTGTGTGCCCCAACCCCTTCCTTTCCAGTACCTTCTTCCTGAAGGTCTTCACAATTTAAATATCGTGAAACTGTCAATTCTACCCCACCCCTGGAGTTTCTACCCAAGCTTTCAGCATTTGCTGAGTAAACTTCTCTGTCACAGTTCTTAAGAACATCCATTTTTGTTTTCCTCTGTTATGTAAATTTGATTGCAAATGAAAATTTTTCTTTAAAAAAATTTTTTTATGTGCATGAGTGTATTGCCTGCATGTGTATAAGTGCATCCATGTTTTACAATGCCCACAGAGGTCAGAAGAAGGCATCGGATCACCTGGAACTGGAGTTATGGATGGTTGTTAGCCACCATGTGGGTGCTGGGAATTGAACCCAGGTCCACTGCAAGAGCAGCCAGTGCTCTTAACTACTGAGCCATCTCTCTAGCCCTGTTTCTTACCTTTAACTTCTCACTGATTTCTAGTCTCCTCCTGGTAATGCCTTTCTTTTCTTTGCAACATAAGATGACAATATCATCTATATTTCTACTGGGCACTGATTGTATACCAGGAATTATTCTAGCTACTGAACATTCAACAGCGAAAGGATCAGTCAAAAATACCTGCTTTCTTGGAACTTGAAAATACAAAAGTTCATTTTTGCCCCTCCACTCCCTCTGTGGTTTTCTTTGTTGGTTCTCCTCTGTTCTGCCTAATGGGAAAGATTGGTAGATGAGAGAGGGAGGGATGGAGAGAAATAGATCTTTTCATACATTGTCCTATCAATTTATTTTCTAGTCACATGATTTCAAACCCCACACTTTATACCCTGTGATGAAATATGTTACAGAAATACCTCAGCTTATGACTGACCACCCGGTGGCATGGTGTGGTACTAAATAGTGTTTTGTGCATTTTGCTGCATCTTGCTGTTATATAATGTTTGGCTGGCTTAGCCACGGTAAAGTGGCCACAGAATCACAGGTTCTGTTCTGCTTGAGCTGGATTATTTCACGTGCAGGAGAAAAACAGTCTTCTTTTGCTTGTCTATAACCACGTCTCTGTCCACCCAGACTTGTCATAGTGGTACAACTATGCCAGAGTAGGTTTTTACTCTGAAGATTTTGGTAGTGGGACGGCGGAGGAACTTCCCAGTGCAAGCTGATTAGACATCCAATTTAGATATTCGTTCAGGGCTGGTATGTTAACTGAATCCACTTAGATCTGAATGCCATCTGGCTTTCCATCCAGGTGAGCTTCAGTATTGAGGCCAAGGTGCGTGGCTGCCCTCAGGAAAAGGAGAAGTCTTTCACTATCAAGCCTGTGGGCTTCAAGGACAGCCTCACCATCCAGGTCACATTTGACTGCGACTGCACCTGCCAGGCCTACGCGGAGCCTCTCAGCGGGCGCTGCAATAATGGCAATGGGACTTTCGAGTGTGGGGTGTGCCGCTGTGGCCCTGGCTGGCTGGGGTCCCAGTGTGAGTGCTCTGAGGAGGACTACCGCCCCTCTCAGCAGGATGAGTGCAGCCCCAAAGAGGGCCAACCCATCTGCAGCCAGCGGGGTGAATGCCTCTGTGGCCAGTGCGTCTGCCACAGTAGTGACTTCGGCAAGATCACTGGCAAATACTGTGAGTGCGATGACTTCTCCTGTGTCCGCTACAAAGGGGAGATGTGCTCTGGTGAGTAGCAGTGCATGCAGTCTCTGCAGTCCCCCAGGAAACAGGTGCAGAGGGCTTGAGGGTGGGTGAGGTGGGAAGAAATGAGATGATCTTCACTCGGGCAGAAAAACGGAGATGATCAAGAGAGGGAAGGAGTTCTTTCCCCCTTGGTTGTGGGGTACAGGGAAGCTAAAATGAGGGTGGAAAGGAGTGGGGGAACCATCTAGGCAAGGTGCATTTTTTCTGCTCACTCTGATAGGTTTCAAGTTCCTAATCTTTTTAAGTATAAGGACCAGCCTCTTTTCATCTAAAAAAAAAGTCTGATGATGAAAAATGCCTGATGTTGTATACTAAAGTTAGTAATAATTTCACTTGAATTTATGTTTATCAGTCCAGAGACTCAGAAAATAGTGGTATCTATACAAGATATTGAAGCACATTTAATGAGCTAATATGTTTAGAAGAATATTTGGAAACTGGAATGCTCATGTTAAATGTTAGCCCTATTTTGTCATCCATTTTGTTACTATTAATATTTGTATTCTAGATCTGTGCTGTCCAAAATAGTAGCCACCATCCACATGTGGCTATTCAAAGTAAGTGAGATTGAAACCATAAGAAATTTAGTTTTTCAGTTGGTCAGTATTGGACTGTAGATTTGAACTTATTGACATAATAGAAAGTTCTACTGGACAGTGTTGCCATAGAGACTTCCTATCTGCAGATCTGGGACTATGATTTGTGTGTGTGTGTGTGTGTGTGTGTGTGTGTGTGTGTGTGTATGTGTGTGTGGTGTGTGTGGTGCCTGTGTTTGTTTGGTGTATGCATGTGTACTTGGTGGTGTGTATGCATGTGTGTGAATGTGTGTAGAGACCAGTGATCAACACTGTATATTTTCCTCAATCATTCTCCACCTTATTTTTTTGAGATAGAGTCTCCCATTGAACCTTAAGCCCACCAGTTGGCTAGGCTGGATGACCAATGAGCTCCAGGGATCCGCCTGTTTCTGCCTTCCCAGTGCAGGAATTATAGACACGTAGACATGTGCCACCAAGCCTAGCCTAGCCACCTTTTCTTATTTGAAAATGCAGGTGCTGGCGATCTGAGTTAGGTCCTCATGCTTGCATTGTAAGTTATCGCCCCAGATTGGGTACTATAATTTTGAGCCCTTCTACCTTAAGGATGCTGAATTGTCTTTATTGAAAAATTCATTGCAATCTTGAGGCCTCTTGATAGTCTCAAATTGGTTTCTGCTGCCCCCAAAGACCACTCCTTCAGGTGCTTGCCCAGCCAAGAGAAACTGAACCAATGTTAATGTAGTCTTTATCTTTAGACATGCTGACAACAGTCTGAGGGCAAATGGACAGTCTGGACTTTTTTCTTGGGCTCTGGAGATAGGTTTATATTGGGTTATAATCACTATGATTTAATCCTATTTGGGACAGACAGGCTGTAAATATTTGCAAGCTGAGTATACCACGTAGTCAGTTTAACAGAGAAGTTATAATTGTTTTCTGTGATCATCTGTGACCCATGTGGGCTTCATTTGCATTGAGGTTTAGTCAGCTGAGCTAATTGACCAAGATGTTCACTTTAGCGTGATGGTGCATGCCTATAATCCCAGCACTCAGGAGGTGGAAGCAGAGGTCAAGATCATCCTCGGACACATGGCAAGTTTGAGGCTAGTGAGAAATTTACCCCCCCATCTCAAAAGAGAAATCTGCCATTGATAAACATACCCCAGGAGGCTGGAGAGATTGCTCAGTGGCTAAGAGCATGTACTGCTCTCACAGAGGATCTGGTTCTCAGCACCCACATTGGGCAGCTCACAACTACTTGTAACTCCAACTCCAGGGGATCTGATGCCTCTGGTCTCTCAGGGCACTTTCATTCATGCTCACATAACTGATACACTCATACACAGAATTAAAAAATAAATCTTAAAAAATACCTCATAAACAAAATTTCGCTTTTTTATTTTATTTTTATTTTTAATTTTATTATTTGAATTTTCTTTGTTTGAGTGTATTGCCTGCATGTGTATAAATGTACCCATGTCATGCAATGTCTGTGGAGGTTAGAAGAGAGCATTGGATCACCTAGAACTGGAGTTACAGACAGTTATTTGCTACCATGTGGGTGTTGGAAATTGAACCCAGGTCCTCTGCAAGAGCAGTCAGTGCTCTTAACTGATGAGCCACCTCTCCAGCCTGGTGCCTTTTTATTATCTTGTAGCATTGTTACCTTTAGTTATACCAGCAAAATCTGAGAAAGGGCTTAGGGGAAATGGTAGCAATACTAGCTAGACGGGGGTGGGGATCATACCCCTAATGATGAAAATGGGTACACAACAACAGTTTGAGCTGGGAGTGAGGCAGAAGTTTTGGTTCATTTAAATATTTAGTAGTATTTACATCATATTAAAGTACTAAAAGCCAGCCCAAAGGGACAGATTACCCTAGGAAAGGCCAACAGAGAGGCCTGCTGGGCTCCCTCACTCCTCTAAGACAGATTGGTCCTAGTCTGATGTGAGGTCTGTGTGGGGAATGCCAGTTAAGACTATTCTTCCGGGGCCTGGAGAGATGGCTCAGTGGTTAAGAACACTGGCTGTTCTTGCAGAAGACCTGGGTTCGAATCCCAGCACCCACATGGCAGCTAACAACTGTCTGTAACTCCAGTTCCAGGGAATCCAACAGCCTCTTCTGCCTTCCACGGGCATTGCATGACACCGGTGCACTTATCTACATACAGGCATAACACTCATACACATAAAATAAAAATAATATATAAAATATTTTAAAAAAGACTATGCTTCCTCTGCCAGCCCCACAAAGCCACAATGGAAAGCTGTGTGGGCTCCTACCTCCCACAGCTGCTCCTCTGTGTTCCCTTCTAATCCACTGAGGGGACTAACTTGTCCTCAGCAACCCCCCTCCCCTGCCACTTCTTGCCAGGATGTCGGGTACTCAGCCAGCTTTAGGCCTTGTTCCTGTGGTACCATCTTCACATCTCAGTGACACACCTTAGAGGCACATGGTCATCCAGTACTTGCTTTGTGCTGGCATTTGGTTCATACGAGTGAATAAGGGGTCATGCTTGATCCCTGAGCTCTTAGAGCTATGGAATATTAACCAATATTCCTCTTCTCATGGCTGGCTCTGTGATCTGTTCTTTGCCACATATTGGGGTTCGTGGGGCAGGAGTGCTGTGACTTGGCTCTTTCCCTAGACTGTGGCCTCTAAACATTTTAGGTGGCTGCCTGGCCTGCTCCTGTCCTATTTTAGGTTGGTCTTTGAGGTTGCACACCATCCCTCCCTCCCTGCCCCTCTACCTCAGACAACAAGGAAACAGGAAGTACATCTGTCTCCTCAGGTACTTTCCCATGTGCTGTACCCATGCACATAGATTGATCAGGCCATCTCAGTGGCTGAGCTGTGCTATAGCCATGTGGGAGGGACAGGCATCAACAGACAATTTTACTGGTTATTAATGTACCAAAGGATCATTCACAGTAGGAGTCACAACCTGCCATATCCCAGAGATGAGATGGCCCTAGAAAGTCCCCAGAGAGAGACTCATGGATAGGGGAGTCTTGGGCAGTTTCATGGAGGTGGTTCAGATGGCTGATGAATCTCAAAGGAGGGCTGGTTTCACACAGGAGAGGAAATGTGAGTCAGCCTGGGAATCTGGATTTGCAGGGACAGTAATCATATTTCCTTTGATCTGAAAACTCCCTCCCTCCCTAGATATTTTCCTTCTTCCCTCCTTCTCGCCTTTTCCATGCTTTTTCATTTCTCACTCTTTCCTCTGACTTCCCTGTGAACCCAGCCTAGGCCTCCCTTTTGCTGGATAGGTGCCAGTCCTGTGACATTACTACACTGTGGTTTCCTTTTAAGGGCGGACTCTGCCAGGGCTTGGGGTCAGCCTGCTGGCTCTGGCTAGCCACTTCCACTCCCAACCTCTGACTAGCCCAGTGGATCATCTTGTCAAAGATCACTTTGTTTTGCCTTACAAAGGAAACACTATGGGACAAGGGTTCTGAAGAGGCTGAGGCCTCCAAGTGCTGCCAGGCCTCTGTGGCATTCTTTCCCCATCCAGGAATCATGCTAAAGCAAGGCATAGTGGACACTGTGGGGCTCATTTTGCTGACTGGCATACCCACCCCAGTTGCTCTCTAGGAGGATTGACTGATGAGAACTCACAGCCGTCTCTTCCCTGGAACCTGGCCCTGGGCTGCCTTGCCTTTAGAAATTGACCAATGACTGGTAGACAAAGGTTACACAAGGCCAGTCCCTTTGCTTCAAAATGTGCCTGGCTCTGTGGTACCATTAATATTCCAGACTCACAGTAGATTTGGGCTGAAGAGAGCCTCTGTCCAAGATCACATGCCCGCTGTTTTTATTTATTTTTGTGTGTGTATGTGTGATACTTTGAGTGTCATTTCTCAGGAACCATCCACCTTGGATTTTGGGAGAGTTTCTCATTGGGACCTGGGGTTTGCCAGTGAGTTCTAGGGATCTGCCTGTCTCTGCTTCCCCAGTGCTGAGATTACAAGACTGTGCCACCATGTCTGGCTTTTTACATGGATGTGGGTGGGGGCAGGAATAGAACTCAGGTCCTCATGCCTGTGCAGCAAGCACTTTACTAACTTGATCCACTTCCCCAGCCAACCTGCTGGCTTTTGACTCTTGCTTGTACTCTCTCCCTTCTACCTCCCCAGGATGGAGGATCCTTACTACAAGCTATGCTTTCAGGGAAAACAGCCTCAAGACTTGGGGACATTCTGCTTCTTTGCTTTCTGCTAGTCTAACATGCCCAGTCTCTAGATAACCTGGGCTGCTGGCTTCTGTTCCCCATCTGTTCTGAGAAGCACATATTTCTTTCCAAGATAGTGATGTGGCAGAGTCTTATTTATTTTTATTTTTGAGTCTTGAATGCCAATGTGGTTGTGAAAGGATAGTGCTGGGGCCACGGGCACAGGGACCCATAGTGGCCAAGATACACTGTGCTCACTGGGAGCAGTGGATATCAGCTAGTTGCCTAGTCTTGTACCTTCCTCTCTCGACTTCCTTGGGGCCACCTGATATGGTTAGAGCCTAGCTTTGGGGTCACCTGAGATAGTTTCCAGACCAGTTCAGATTACTTCCTCTTTGTTCCCTGCCTCTGATTAATAATCAGTTTTTTTTTTTTTTTTGTCTTTTTGAGACAGGGTCTCTCTGTAGCCCCAGCTGGCCTGGAACTTGCTATGTAGACCAGACTGATGACCACACAGAGATCTGCCTACCTCTGTCTCCCAAATGCTGGGATTAAATGCATGCACTACCATGCCTGGCAACAATCATAGTTTTATTATGCATCCAGTTCTTCCTGATTCAGAGTTTTAGAGAATGAGTCACCTTTTACAGGGTTTAGGAGTCAACTTTTAAAACCCTGTTAAATGAATATTAGAGGGTATAGCATTGAAAGTTAATGCCTGCCTATGTTTAAGTACACTCACCCCCACCCTGGGCTCCTCCCATTCATACACACAACGAAGTGACTAGATCTTCTATACCAGGGCTGATGACTCTTTGCAGTGCTGTAATAATACAACACAGTATACAACTGATATATGTATGTGTTTTTCCATGAATTTGATGTGTCTATAAACTTCTCTATCATACAGATGTACATTATCTTGTTCACTGCTGGCTTTCCTGTACCCAGCATGTGATAAGAATGAATGAGAACATTAATCGTATGCCGAATCTATAAATGATTTTATGATAGTCACTATTAAGGGGAAAACTATTGGGATATGTTTTCTCCCTCAGAGGAGCTCACAGTTTAGAAACAGAAACAGACAAGCTAGAAAAGGCCATAACATAAGGGTAGAAATACAGGTAGCTACAATGTTCTGGGAGAACACATGATGAGAAGACAGTTGACTCTATCAGAAGAGGTCAGAAAGAGCCAGTTTGAGGAAGGAACATTGGCATTGACCTTTAAAAGGTGAGTGAGAATTTGACAATGATCACAGAAACACGAGGTCATAAAACACTGCAGAAGGTGGTGAACAGTTCAGAGTGTTGGTTGATGTGTGGACATGCGAGGCTGGTGACAAGGCAGGTAGCCTTATAGCCTTGAATGTGTGCTAAAGATTTTAGACTTAAATTTATCTTTGTGACAAAATAACCTGACAGAAACAACATAGGGGAGAAGGATTATTTTGACTCGTGGTTTCAGACGGTTCAGTTCAAAGTTGCTTAGCTTCATAAACTTGGGCAGAAAGTCATGGTGGTGGGTGCAAGGTTATTTACATCATGGTACAAGGAAACAGAGTGAGGAAGGGACTGATGAGCAGGTGTGTAACCTTCAACACCTTTTTTCTAGTGGCTTACTTCCTTCAATGAGACTGCTAAAGTTTTTAGAACCTCTCAAAATAGCACCATTAGCTGTTTACCAAGTGCTTCTTATGTGACCCTGTGGCAGACGTTTCATATTCAAACTCCGAACGCCATCACTTGAACAGTACAGTATATCAGAATTCTTAAAATATTCTTTTTAAGAATTTTCTCATTTTATCAAGCAGTTTTCAGACCTTCCTTGACTTCCTCTTTCCCGCTTTAGCTTCTTTTCTTCCTTCACTGGTTAAACCCAAGAATATTCAACTGAAACTAGACTCACTGTTTACTGGTTTAAAGCTGTTTTCTCTGTAAGTTGAAGTCCTTTGGAATGATCATATAACTAGGCAAAAACATTGGGATCTCAAATCAGAGGGACTTCTGTTTGAGCCCTCACTTTGCTGTTTATAAGCTGTGTGGCCTTGGGCAAATTACTTAAGCCTTCTGATGCTATGGGGTTATTGTAAGAAATAAATAAGTTAAAATGCTAAAGAATATGGCATGTACTTGGCAATATTAAATGCTCAACAAATGTCCATGGGCATTAGTTATAACTGTTCTGAGTATTGTTGGCACCCCTTCCACTGGAAATATTGAATTCTTTGGTTTGGGAAAGTAATATAGTTTTCTTCACTAAATGCTTCCCAAAGCTGCCATAATGTGCTCTTGGCTACATAGGGTAACAAGATATAGGTCTTACTTTTCCTTTTGCTGTGACAAAATGCTTGACAGACACAAAGGAGCAATGATTTATTTTGACTCACGGTTTAGGAAGAGTCCATCCACGTTCGCTTGGTCCCATGTGTTTAGGCAAGACAGCATAATGGCAGGTGCATGTGTTGAAGAACTGTTCACGTCGTGGACAACCTGGAAACAGAGGGAGAGCAAGCCAGGAATGGCCATGGATACCCAATATGTACTGCAAGGCCCCAACTGGAGTTAGGCAGTGACCTACTTCCTCCAAGTTTCTCAAAGTTTCCAGAATCTCCCAAAATAGCATCACCAGCTGGACCTAGTGTTCAAAACACAAGTGTTTGGGGGGACCATCTCAGATTCAAGCCAAATATAAGTCATGTTGAGAATATGGGTATATTGGTGAGGCTGGAGGCAGTTGAACCATGCCTACAACTTCACAAGCTGACCACAGTTAATGTTTATGTGACTTTTCAGTGCAGAAGTAGGAAGGAGGACTGGTCAGCAGAAGTTTGGTGGAGGCCATTGGGCTCTGTGAGGTCGCCGCTAACTAGTTTATTAATGCTTTCCTTTGTAAAAACCTCTTTTCTCTTTTCACTTAGCCTCTCTCATCTTCTGTTGCTTTCTCTCTATGGCATTCACGGGATTTGTTTAGTGCACTGGCCCTCAGCAAGCTGTGAGGTAGGCTGTATTTCTTCTCTGTGCTTCCTTGGGTCTGTTGGCTGATTCTGTGGGCTCTTGGTGCCTTCTGTCTGGCTCTTGAGTGCCCTACCCCTTCTCCCTGTGTACCCAGGGCACTCTGTGTACCTTCCTTTCCCATCATTGTATACAAGACTATGCTGGGATCTCTCCATTCCTCTATGCCTATTATAGGCCTCTTTCCTGTCCCTCAGAACTGTTTCTCACCTTGCAACGTGACAAATAGTTGATTTGAGAAACACAATAATATGTGTTGGTGAATGGCTTGTTATTTTGTTAGTGGGAAGGGCTAGCCTGTCCAAATCCGAGCCTGTGTTGGTGTCTGACTTGACTGGGAGAAGACAGTGATGACAGTGGTCAGCCTCTATGATCAGTTTGGAGAGGGAACAGTCTTGTCAGGTCACAGGGTGATAGTGTGGGGGCTGCGTGGGCCTTCTGACATCATCAGGCCACCCTATTAAAGTTCTTGAATGCCCTGCATGGGTACAGGCTGTGGCTTCTTCCTGGGCCAGCACTTGGGGTGAAAGAGCTGATTCTGACCCTCAGACTGAGGCTGGCAGAGAAGGAAGAAAGATTCAGAATGAGGCCAGAAAAAGGGCAGGAGGCCTGGAAGACTTAGAGCCTGATATTCCTTTGCTTTCCAGGTCCTGCCACTCCTTGGGACACCTAAATGGCTGTGTTTGTCCCCATTGGGTAGAGTTCCCTGGGTAATGAACCCATGCCCCTGTCCACTTGCAGGATCATTATCAATATGGTTGGGAAAGCAGGGTGACTGTAGCCTGTCGGATGGGCTCCTCACCAGCTGGTCTGACCTCCTGGGCTCTGTGCTTGCAGGCCATGGCCAGTGCAGCTGTGGAGACTGCCTTTGTGACTCAGACTGGACCGGCTACTACTGCAACTGCACCACCCGTACTGACATGTGCATGTCCAGCAATGGGCTGCTGTGCAGCGGCCGTGGCAAATGTCAGTGTGGCAGCTGCATCTGCATCCAGCCAGGCTCCTACGGAGACACCTGTGAGAAGTGTCCCACCTGCCCAGATGCCTGTACCTTTAAGAAGTGAGTTGGTTGTTTGAATAGAGTTGGGAGGCTGGGAGGAGGAAGAGGAGCCCTAGACTAGAACCACCAACTCTCAAGGATCTATCTCTTATCAAAGGTATAGGGAATACAGTTTACTCCAGCCAAATGACTACTTTCCTTTTCTCCCATGAAAGCTTTGCTTTAGGGAAGTTGGAGGTGGAGCCAGCTGTGAAAGGGCCAAAGCAATAAGCACCTGAAGCAAGCCCTCTTCTAGAGTGGCATCCTAAATCCCTCTGAGTTGGGAGGAAAGCTAAATAGGATATTCTTGGATCATTCCAATGCAATGTTCTGATTCTGTGGGAGGCACAGGGGCTGGAGTTATGGCAGGTATTAGGTGAAATAGGCATTTTTACCAGTAAAGACTTCCCCTGTTTGCAGGTTAGAAGAAACCTCTGTCAGCCCATCCATGGCTCTGCCATTCCTCTTACCACTATAGGCAAAGCCAAGTTCACAGTCATGCAGACTGTGCAGCAGTACAGGACCATGCACTTAGAAGAGATTTGTGCCAGGTTAACTGTTCTGTTGTCACTGTCTTGAAATCCTCAGCAATTTCCAAATGGAATTTTGATATGGCAGTAGACTCCCAAATCACATGACCAGTTCTGACTTTAAGGCTCCTAGAAGTGAGGGAAGGTTCAGCATTACCATCAAAGCCCTTGAAGAAGCTTAATGAGGCCTGACGGTAGTACAGAAATCCAAGCACTCAGGAGCTTGAGGCAAGAGGATCTAAAGTTCAAGGCCAGCCTAGGCTCCATAGTGAGATTCTATCTCAGATCCAGGGTTGACTGGCTAGGTCTTGCCTGTGGGTGAGGAGAGCACCCCATCTCCTGAGCTCCATTCTGCTTTCTGGATATGTGGAGGCCAGTGCTGCACTGTGGCATGCTTAGAGTTGTTGTCCTCTTGATTTAGTTGCTGTGTCCTCTCTCCTCTAGGGAGTGTGTGGAGTGTAAGAAGTTTGAACGGGGACTCCTACATGAGGAAAACAGTTGCAACCGTTACTGCCGCGATGATATCGAGTCCGTGAAAGAGCTTGGTAAGTCCAGCAAGTCTTAGAGTCTCACATACCCATGCTGTAAACAGTTCCATTTCAGTCCAGGAGCCTACCAACTCCCTTTGTAAAATGGAAAAGTAGTTCTCCACTTGAGCAATGCTGTGCAGGCCTGGTATGCAGTAGGCACATGGTGAAAGGTGGCTTCCTGCGTGTCCTCCTTCTTCTGCAAATGTGTTCAGCAACTCACATCTTCTGTTTCCTAGAGCTCCAGACACAGGACAGTCTGTGCATAATTTGTAAAGGATGTACAAACATATGACTCTTTAATTTACCTTCCCAGGAAAGGAAGGTAACGCATTTGATTTTGCAGATGAAGAAACCAAAGCATAGACCTGGGAGTGACGCAGTGCCTGGTATTTTTTATCAGCTTAGCTTAGGCAAGCAAGCATTTACTAAGTTTATTAAGGATGTTAAATGAACTTGGCCTGGTGGCACACACTTGTAATCCTATCACTCAGGAGGCTGGGGCTAAAGGATCTTGACTTTGAGGCCAACCTGGGCTATAATACTGAGTTCAGGCCAGTCTGAGCTACAGAGCAAGACCAGGTCTTAACAACAACAACAACAACAACAACAACAACAACAATAAACCTATTAAAAAGTATTAAGTGATGCCCAGGCTTTTACTTATAGCTTTGGTGGTTTGGAGGAAAACCTTCCTCCTTATGGATTTGTAATCTGGCTTTCTGGACCTCCCCTGAAATAAGACAGAAGTATAAATAGGGAGGAGTGAAATTGTTACAATTATTCCAGCCTGTACTTCCTGCTGACTTTAAAGATGATCTTTGCTGCTGTCAGGACATCTGATGGGTTATCTGGGCTGAGAGGGACTGGGTGGTGCCCAGGAGATGGCAATCTCTGCACAGTTAGCAACGATCTACGCAGTTAAGGAATGCTCGTTCTCGGAGAACCACAGTTGGTTAGCTTTGCATGGGAGTGTTACAGAAGAATCAGATCTCTGGATCTTTGGCTGATAGCGAAGTTGGGTTGCAGTTGGCGATTTGGGGGCCGAGTTTGAAGAGGCAGCAGTTTTTCCTTTGGAAGAGCCTAGGCTTGCTGTAATTATCTCAGGAAGGAAAGCTGTTTGTTTGACCTCATTGAGTCTACCTTCATCTATGAAAGGAAAACCATGTCCCCACGGTATAACCCATAGTGTCATTGGCAGAATAGCAGGTTTCAGAATGAGAATGAGAATGAGATGAAGCCTGCAAAGCATGGTGGGAGTCAGATGGGGGATGGCTGGGGGAGGCACACTAGATCAGAAGCAAAGGTAGAAGAGTTGTAAGGGCTGCATTAGCAGACTGCAGAGAACCATTGAGCAAGCAGAGAGAGGAAAGGGAAGGAGATGTCTACTCTCCCTGGGCAGCTGCTTGTTTTATGCCATTCAAATCTCCCTGTAAGGTGGGAGTATCATTTTTTCTTTCATAAATGAAGGAAGGTAAACTTGATGAGGTCAGATAACTTAACCCAAGACCCCAACTGGTAGGAGGTAGACATGGGCTTTGGATCAGAATGTATATCGTATCCCTTTCAGAGAAAGGAATAAGAATGCCCCCCCCCAAAAGCCTGTGAGGATCAAAATACATCACTGTGGGCCAGTCAGTGGCAATTGCCAGGCATGACCTTGAATCTAGGCATCTTGCTTAATGGCAGGCAGTTTCCTTTCACATGCTTTCCCAGATGTCCTATGAAAAAGCCCCATCTTCTGGGAATTGACCCGTTTCTTATTCTTCTATGTTCTCCCCTCCACCACTCCAGGGGATACTGGCAAAGATGCAGTGAATTGTACATACAAGAATGAGGACGATTGTGTTGTCAGATTCCAGTACTATGAGGATGCCAGTGGAAGGGCCATCCTGTATGTGGTGGAGGAACCAGGTGAGTGAGCCCCAAGGCTCTGTCCCTGTCTTTAGCGGGGGACAGAAAACCATGCTAGGCAGGAATTTCCACCTGTCACCCTTTTAAATGAAACAGGCCAAATTAGCTGGGTATGGTGGTGCATGCCTTTAATCCCAGCACTTGGGAGGCAGAGGCAGGTGGATCTCTGTGAGTTTGAGGCCAGCCTGGTCTCCATAGAGAATCAGGCCAGCTATGGCTACAGGGAGACCTTGTCTCAAAAAGAACCCCCTCCCAAACAGGCCAAAGTTATGTCTGTCATCTTGGTAAGGGGATATGTCAATATAAGTGAATATGGTTATCACTAAGGAATGAGATATATTACAGCAGTTTTTGAATTGATAATATCAAGAAGTAAGGAATTTCAGCTGTAGGACTTCACAGTACATGCATATATTCTCCTGTAGGATAGCTGCTGTGTGCAGCCTGCCTGTTGTTACAGTGGACGATCTGATTGTATGAGGTATTAACCTTCCAGGTTAATGACAATATACAATGATGTGTTTGGGGGACTGACTCAAGACTGTCCTATAGAACACTGAAGAGATAGTGCTTGCTGTCTTGGACTGGCAGCATTGGGCCAGAGAGATGGGTTAGTAGTTAAGAGTGATTTCTACTCTCCCAGAGAAACTGAGATCAGTTCCCAGCACCCACACTGGGCATCTCATAACCACTTGCAACTCCAGCTCAAGGGGCTATGACACCCTCTTCTGACCCCTGAGAACACCTGCACATATGTAGTATATACTCACATAGACACATACACATAAATAGAAATAAAAAATTAAAAAAGATAGTGTTTGCTTTCAAGGCCCTCTGGAAGCAAGAGGGCTACATCCCACCGTACACAGACAAACCATCTGTCACTGTGAATTAGCTTTACTCTTTTTTTACTGGTGTTAGGAATTGAACCTAAGGTCTTGCAGATGCTAAGAACATATTCTGTATTCCGCCACTGAGCTACAACTCCAGCCTAGGCTTGCTTTTTTTTTTTTTGAATAACAGTATGCCATTATGGGAACTAACTGGGGTCTCATAAGAACTACATCAATTTTTCCTGTGTCGTGACCCCTAATGACCTACTTACCTTGTTGTAAACCCTACATATCTATCTATCTATCTATCTATCTATCTATCTATCTATCTATCTATCTAATGTGTGTATATATTATATATATAAAATTTTTAAATTTTATTTTTGAGACAGGGTCTCATGTAGCCTAAGTTAGCCTCAAACTTACTGTGTAGTCAAGGTGACCTTGAACTTTTGGTCTTCTTGCCTCTGCCTGAGTGATAGAGTTGCATGTATTACCACACCCAGTTTTTATGGCAGTACTGGGGTTCAAACCAGCCTTGTAAATGCTAGGCAAGTACTCTACCAACTAAGCTATGTCCCTAGCCCCTCAGCCTTACCTCTTTAATAGTCCACTATCTCAAACACTGCCATATTAGAGACCAAGTTTTGGCGAATAAACCTTGGGGGACATACTCAAACCATAGTTAAATCATAACACCTTTACCTTAAACAACAGATTTAGATATGAATAATTAGAAAATAAATTTGAAGGCTGGAGAGATGGCTCAGCAACTAAGAACACTGGCTGCTTTTGCAGAGGAACTGGATTTGATTACCAACACCCACATGGTGGCCAGCAACCATCTATAACTCCAGTTCCAGGGGAATCCACCACCCTCTTCTGACCTCTGCAGGCACTGCACAACACAGGTGCACTTACACACATGTAGGCAATACACTCATACACATAAAGTAGAAATAATAAAATAGTTTAAAAAAGAA